ACAGGTAAAAGGCTAATGTCAAGAACGAGGCAGCGGACATACGTCATAACAACGGTCGACTAAAGGAGGCTAGAGGTTGCATTTAACGTAAAGTGTCGCCATATGCATCGTCCTTAGTTACGAGCTCACCGGGGGAGCATGTGTATGTGAGAAATTAGAAATACCAACAGACCTATGTTCGACCGAAGTGTCCCCTGTCCTCGATGCTGGCGGCCGATCATTGTTCTACGATGACTATTATGCAGTATGACGGCGAGTCAGCACGATATTGTCGTTTGACAGTTGGTATGCCTTACATTTCTCAGCTCCGGAGATCACACTTGTCGTGGCCTACAGTAGGGGGCGAATGCTTGGACCAGAACCTGAAGGTGTGAGTTAAAGAGCCAGCTGAAAGCTCCTACCCATTTCAGTCTTCGCACCGGCAAGTTCCACCGCATTTGACTGCCATCACCGACACCTCCAAACTGAGCCATGCCGCGCACCAACAGTACCAAGCTCCGCGAACGCAAACGCATGGCATGCGATGAATTGTCACCGCAGAAGCTGAAGGTATTATGTCTAGACGGCCACAAGGGTGCTAAGAAAACTAGGACGATATCTTTTGACGAGCTGGCTGCGTGGAGGCAGGAAAATCCGGCTGTCCTGACTGGCTACCGCATTTCAGTGGACAGCTGGGCGGAGTGTTTGGCCACAGTATGGTGGTGGCACAACGAGACGGGTGAGCAAGTTACCAGCCTGCACCAAAGAACATCAGCTGAAAGCTATATCGCGTACAGTGAATATCTGGACGCACCTACTCGGCGCTTTGGCTTCCATCAGCCTCGCAGGGTATCTTACCTACTGGACCATGATGGACAGCGCTGGCCTTGAAACAGAGCCGTTCTACCATCTCGCGCCTTTGAACAATGAGATCAAGTCTTTGGAGTGGCGAGACACAGCTGTATTTGCCGTGTTCTTTCTCGGAAGTGCGGTCTGCTTCACCTGCTCCACTGCGTTTCACACTTCGCTTTGCCATCGTGAAGAGGTTTGTCTAGCTGTTCTGTAACTACCTCCCGTTAAGCGTGCTCATATGTTTACGCCAATCCTCAGATTGTGAGATACACGAACAAACTCGATTACCTTGGTATTCTCACGCTCGGGACACTGAATTTCTTTCCGACCTTCTATTACGGATTTTACTGCGATATGTACCCTGGGTACTTGTACATGGCACTCATGGCAGTCTCTGGATGTGGTGTGTTTCTTCCGAATACAGTAACCGCCGCGTATGCTGACACTAGGCTGCTATTAGTTGGTATATTCCTCGTCTGTGCGCCCGCATACGACCGGCCCGAATATCGCAGAACGCGAGCAGTGACATTCGTGACGTTGGGCCTCGTCGCTGTCCTGCCTTTTGTACATGTCGTTGCTCGGTACGGACTCGCCAAGGCCTCGCGTAGCATGTCCCTAGGATGGATTGCCCTCGAGATTGTCGCATACCTATGCGGCGTAGTGCTATAGTGAGTGTTCCGGTGTTTGCTGCTAGTTTGTTGGTCAAGTCGGCTTGCAGTGCGGGACGTTTCCCAGAGTCTGTTTTCCCGGGGCGTTTCGATCTCGTCGTATGTCGCACTGCATATATCTGCGTTACCCCACTGACCTGTCCATCTAGGGCTCATCTCATCAGCTGTTTCACATCTGCAGTGTATTAGCCGTCTCATTCCATTACATTGCAACAGTAGAGGCGTTCCACTATCGGCATGTCGCACTTGTGGGTGCTTGCCCCAATTGAGGTCACCCTGCCTCAGAGGCTCGGAAGGGACATAGAGTGCTTAGTAGTGGTTGGTTCACTATCATGAATTCCCTATCATTATTGCGAAGAATATTTTTGACTCTCAGCCAATCCAGTGACGAAGCATTTCTCCGCATAGTACTCACCTAGCAGTGTGTTGGGCCATCCTCTCCGAATGTCTTCGTTCGCGGCAGCGATTCCACACCATGTAGGTGCTTGCTGTCCTGCCAGTTATCACCGCCAATAATGTAGCTACTGTGTCATAATTCAGCTACATGTTAGACTTCATTAGCTTCGCTACCTGAACGTGAACGGGCGCTTATAGAATGAGCCTGGGCAGCAAGTCTCGTTCCGTCCACGATGTTCAGCACCACCGGACCCGGATGAGAACGCAGGAAACACTGGCCTAGCTTCCATCGTCCGCGCCCAAAACCGTTCTGAACGCTCCTTAACCTTGCCCGACACAACACAAAGCGTCTACGATGATTCGTCTTCGGTTTGCTCCTTCT